ACACAAGAAACCCTACTCTGCATGGCTTGTGTATTTGAAGTGTCAAACAGTGAACATGGAGCACAGCATCATATCTACAGGCTTGTAAAGGACTGAGCAGTTATTTATATATACAGTTCATTTCACTTCTTTATCAAAACACAGACTGTAAACCTCAACACTAAGTGGCAGTGCCTCTGGCCCAACTTTCACCCACATTTTTCTAAATCCTGTTTTAGTGAGTCATTTTTAATGTGTTCATATATAATTGTAGCTGTGAAATTCTGGTACAGTTGTAAAAATTATTTCTAAAACTAAGTGTTCTTCAAATTTGTAAACCACCGTTCTTTGGGAAGACTGTATTTAAGAACCTAATGCCTCTGTCTGTGGAGGCCTATTTTTAATTCTGATAGAAAAATGTATGACAGAGCATTTGCCATGGGGAAAAACTGACAGCGTTTATAAGATATTTTGGTTTTTTTTCCAACACAAAATACATGTTTTACAATGCAAGTGAAATTGAAATGAATCTTTAGCTATAACTGTAAATGAATAAGAAAAGTTAATTACCTTTATAGAATTATCTTTGTAACTAATTAGGGTGGAAGATATGGACAAATATAATTCACTAAATTATTTTTTAAAATGAAACATTTTTCTGTTTGAAACCAAATGAAAAAATATAGCCTTAAGAAATACCTGTTAAGGAACAGACAGGTCCTAAAATTAGGCAAATTTTGTATTTTTTTTCTCAATGCTAAAACTAATCTTCTAATCCATTAAACTTTCAAACAGGTATTACAGAGAAAGAAAACATCATCCCTTACCCTTAGCGTATCTAGTGTATTTTAAAAGATTATAAAGTTGTATTGTACTAATATGAAAAATTGATAATTTAATGAAAAGAAGATGGCTCGTTTTGCAATAAGTAGGTAAATACTGAAGATTTAGACTCACATTATATGTAGTCTTGCGTATGCAGTTATATTTTATATGGACAACTATGTTTTCTAGTTGAGTGAAAACCTTGCAACTCTGAAATTAGCAGATAAATGGAAACAACTGACATTGCTACAGCATTGAGTAGTTCGTAAGCTGAAAGCAAAACACTGAAGTGTTTGAGAAAAGAATGCATACACTTCTGAAAGGATCAATAGCTTTAATATCTGTGAGATGCTAGAAAATCACAAGCAATATCAGACAAGGAAGCTTGGAAAATGGAGATTGTTTTCTTCTTTTCCTTTTTATCACGGTGCTCTAACAGCTCTCTCCAGTTCTCTCTCCAGTTCCTACTGCAAAGATCTTACAGGAAACAAACGCATATGTGCCACATGGGTTCTGCTGTCCTTTTTGTATCTGGATGTGGTAGTATTCATCCTTCTGCTGTATCAGGGAAGACTCCAGGAAGTGAAGTGCAGCTGGAGATATTTTAATACTGTGCAGATTCAAAACAAGGATGTGGGTGTGAGTGGTTATCTGAGGTACGCACATGTGAGATAAGTATTCTCATTCTTCCTACCTAAGCCAGAGTGTTCCTCAGTTGCTTCTCTTCTGCACACCCAGCGCTGTCCTTCAGCTGCCCAGGCAGCAGTTGTTTAAGCAGGTGCTGGACCAGCAGTGGGTCCTCGTGTAAAACATTTGTCTGAAAGGCTCAGGACTGCTTGGCCAAGCACAAGTCACCTTAAAGGTCAGTCATGAGGTATCGGCAAAGAGCGTTCTTGGGAAGGTCTTCTGCAGCTCTGAATCAAAGAAGAGTAACATTTAACAGCTCCCTCCTCACTGCCTTTTACATGCCTATGCATGATTTATGTCTAGAATTTACTCCTTGGCAACAGTGCCATAGTCTTTGAAAAAGTCTCAATTTCTGGATTTTTAAAAAATTGTATTGTACTCTCTCAGAATTGCCAATAATTGAATTTATCTAGACCAGAATGCTGCCCAGGCATAGCAGTGGGTTGTTGTGGACACACGATACAAACATCTGAAAGGAAGGGAGACTGCTGAAATCCCTCAGCTTGCCGCTGACCTAACTCCAGTAGGTGGATGATTGCTGTGATGTCTAGCTGTGGATATTAGGGCTAATGATCTTTCAGTTTATATTCTGTGAACAGAACAGTGAAATATGTCCATGGTAGGGTCTCTAACGCTCATTTTTAACACTAACAATCACATCAGGAAAAGCACTGCATTGTAACAGCCTAACGGTAGCCCTTTATTCTAAGCACTTGGTGTTACAAGTCAAAAACTACTTTTTTTTTGTTTTGTTTTATTTTGTTCTAAAGTTGTCTTTTATTTAGGGTTTGAATTGTGGTTTTGGTGATTTTTTGTTTTAATAACAAGCGAACTCTTTGAGGCGTATCAAGTATGAAGGCAATTTGCAAAACCAGGTACAGTTTTTTAGTAGAATCTGGCACACTACATATGTCATAACTATAGGGTATAAAAAGTCACAATGTTTATTGGTGTTCACGTATGTAATATTAGGGAAACGACTTTCTTCATCTTTTCTTTACACTTCTGTAAATGATCCATACCCTGTATGTGTTAATTCTTAAAAGCCTTAATCCTTCAACTGTTCAGTGTGTGGTGTGTAGTCCAACAGGCTGCCTGTAAACTGTGAGCTCTTTTGTAAGCTGGAAGTATTTATCTTGTTACTGTTACTTTTTGTAGGAATCTTTTAATTGAGAGCTGCCAAAGCATTACAATATGCAGTGCCTTAGCGTTATATTAGAAATACCTTTAGCCTCTTAACATAAATTTGATATGTTGTTTTATTAATTGGTTCCATTTTTAAAGAAACTGTATTTTTCCCCGCAGAAAAAGCTCCTTGACTGCTTGGTCTAAACCAACCCTCAGTACAAGTCAGTCCCATCGCTACATGATTAAATGTCTATACCAAAAGGAAAGGTTACAGATTCATAGTTCTCCGTGAAAAGAGGATTGTATTAATAATGCTGCCTTTTAAAATTTCATGACCAAATAATTAATTGTGACTCTTCTGCACTCTAGCATGAAAGTGCCTTTGGTTTGAAATTCCAGCTTAGAAAAGTGCTGCCATAATAATGACAATTTGTAGAGAGACCAAAAATATTTAGTTATCACCGTAATGCCTTTGGTTTATTGGAATAAGTTGAAAATGCAGGCCTCCATTCACAAAAGAGCACCATTTATAGCAAGGTCATTTTGCTAATGATCAACCTGCTGGAGAATAATGTACTGTTTGCCATTTCTGACAGCACTACAAACCAGCTAGTGATCGATCTGTGATGAAAAAACAAAAATTGTTCACATTTATATTCTCTTCATCCAGCCGTGTATCTGCATAATGAGATCCATGCACTGCAGAATTTCAGAAAGTGGACAAATGTGACTTTATTGTTCTCCTCTAATAATATTTCAGTGTCTGTGAGGATTTTTTGTTTAGATGGAAGACTTTGTTTACAAAACTGTGCATGCTGGAGGTCAGATGCATAAAACAAGATGAAAATGGAGGACAGTAGCTAGATTAACGTGGTGGTGTGTTTTTAAGCATTGAACTGTTAAGTGTGAGCATTGTGGATGAAGGTGCTGTTGGAGAAACTGGCCAGCGCTGCTCAAAACACAGGGTTGCTTTGTTTTGTTTTTCTCCCAATCAATGTCTTGGTAGAAAAAAATCAGCTCCTCTGAAAAATGTGTCTTGTTTGATATCTTCTGTGAACGGGGGCCGTACTGTGTACACTACAACTAAAATTGGTGGGGAGAGGGGCAAGATTTTAAGAAAAAGATGTTAGAAGGAACAAATATCAGCAAAACCAAAAGCTGTCAGAGGGATTATATAGTTGTGAATACGATTTTAACTTGATTTTTAAAGTATTTGATGAAATCTAAGATTAACTTTTTATATATAGAAATATTGTGACACTGTGTGGTAAATATTGTGATAATTCAAATTCCCTGTCTCCAAAATATTATTTTTGTTAATCCTTCAAGGTCTAAATCTCACTTACCTCTGTGAGACAAGTAATCGTGTTGAATTCGATGAAACTGAGGTAGGGCAAAGATGATTTCACCCCGCAAGCAGAGCATATATTTTCAGTTACTACCAAACATTTCAGTCTTACTAATCCGTACTTGTGGTAAAGTACACTTCTGTCTGATTAAAATAAGCATAACGGTACCATTTGGGGCTGTTAAAAATTGCTACTAGCAACTGTAGTTTTACTTACTTGAATTCCAAAATGATTTTATTTAGGTACTGCACCACTATTTTGAAGGAATTGCAGATATAATGCCTGTTTCTCGCGTTCCCTTTCTACTGCAACTACAGCTCAGTCAGGTTGGCAGTAGCTTCTTCCGTTAAAACCTCCACGCTGTAGGCTATTTTAAGTAATGAAGGGTGTACATTACTGTTGAATGTAAGTAACTGGCCAGTTCAAGGCAGATACAACATTTGACATACTAATATCTATTTATTTTTCCACTGCAGCTCCTAGGGCACACTCGCTTTGGAAGCAGTTCCCCTTACAGTTTTCCTGGATCATTCATACTGAGAAATGTTTTCTCTGTTCTTTACTTGACCCATATTGATTCACATACCCGGTCAAACAGCAGATGTGATAGCAGAGTCTAGTTTTGTATTTTTCTCAGGATGATCTCTTTTCCCCCCTCCTACCTTTCATGACCAGATGCTTGGCCCCCTAAAAAAGATCAAGGCTGGATAATTCAAAATAGAAAACGCGCTTTGGAGATTTTTCATCTTTTAACTTTTCAGGTCATTCTTGCTGAGATCATGTAATTAGTTTAGCGTGTAAATTAAATCTTAAATGCACTCAGTTGACAAAAAGGAGACAGATCCCTGTTACCTCCTTTCAGAATATGTGTTTTTGTTTTGTTTTGTTTTATGGGCCTCTTTGATTCAGGCTCATGACTGCAGACAAAAAATACAATATGTGCCTGAAAAAGAAAGACAAGAGAATTTTATAACATTGAAAACCTGAATAGCCTTTAATTCTTCAGTACATTTTATGTAAAACAGGTTGGGGTTTTGTTTTGTTTGAATTTTCTTTTTTTTTTTTTCTTTTTCTTTTTTTTTTTTTTCTTTGCCATGTGCATTTGTTCACATTTGTAAATGACTTAATGGAATTCTCACTTTATGTTTATTTGTGTAATGTGTATAAAATGGGTTTGTGACTTAAGCATATTCATATATGGTCAGTGGTTACTTTAATATTGTACTGCTGCTGGTAACTTTTGATGTAGAACTTGCCTTTTGATGATAAAGTACCTCTAGGTTAGACAGGGAGGGAAGGATCTTTGAAAAAAAAAAAAACAACACCGAACGTTCTCCAATGTTTTCTTAACATATTTGCAGAAGCTTTCAAAAGGAGTTTCAGTCAAACCTCTTGGCAGTACAGTATTCTTGTATTTGTTATTGTCTGTGTGTAGGTACTGGTACCTTTTTTTGTTTAAAATGTTTTAAGTGTTGGCTTTAAAGTGAATTTATCTTTAGTATGATAGTAATATGAAAATTATAGGTTTTGTGTGCAGAGAATTTTTTTATAAAGTGCTTTGTAAAAAAAAAAAAAAATGTATTCTAGCTTTCGCGGTACATATGTGTGATAACTTTAATATCCATGACAGTTAAGTGCAATTATTTCATCACTCTAAAAATGCTATTTTTGTGTCGGTTACTGCAGGTGTTTTCATGTCTTTGCAAAGTGACACATTTTGATGCCTTCTTGATAAAGTGGTAGAATTTTTGTAGCTTTCTAGAAACTTTGTATTCATACAGTATCGATTGAAAATAAAGAAAATGAAAGTGTTTTGTGCATTTATCTTAATCTCCCACATCAATCTCTTTTTAACATTGGGTGCGACTTTCAAAAGCACTTAGCAAAGCAGCACAAGACCAGACTTGTGGAAATGTCTGCGTGCTTACCTAAAGGTTCAGATGGACATCTGGCCCAATTCACCAGTACCTGTAGGGACAGCACATCTGGAAGCTCTGCTCCACTATGAGTCTGTGTGCTTTGCAGACCTCTGGCTTGTATGTCTTCCTAAAGAAACAGTAGTGAGGTTTTTGAAACGTAATTTAGGTCGTACTGTTTAAATGAGAAAAGCCACCCAACGCCATGTGTGCCAGAAGCAGGAATGATCTATTCAGAATCTTTACATAATAAACAGTATCAGTTCATCACATGACAACTAGAACTGACAGGAACAGAGCAGTTAAGTGGGGTTGTGGTGAAAGAAAGAAAAAAGAGAGTAAAGGGGGATACCCTACGTCATCTGGAGTCAGTGGGAACATGACCAGGACTTGAGGGGGGGAGAAAAAAGTACATCTGGCTCATCTTCTCCTTCAAAAGGAGAGCAGTGGCTTTTGAATAAACCATGTTCCTCCCACACACCCCAATTCCCCTTTTGGATGGCAGATGTTACGCTGCAATTTTTAAAATGCCACCACAGCTCACCCCATGTGGGAGATGAATGGGTTGAGAACAACACGCAGACATGGTCTGCTTTGACCCTGTTTTCACTTCTTTGTTCCCCATTAAGAATATGGTTTCAGCACTTTGAAGTGGGTTAGTTGTTTCAGAAGCAACCTGCTCCTTCATTAACGCTCCATGTCTTAATTAATTTAGGTTAAAGACCATAAACCTACCTTTAGGAAAAATGCCACACAGCATTTCAGGTTGGCAGTCCCCACGTAGCATCGTGCCGTTCTGTACTCACTGACTGCCTTCAGCAGATACAGTGGCCTCTCCCTACTTAAGCACAGTCTAGCTTACATGATTACAGCATTGTGGTCACAGGACGAAGAAGACAGACCAGTTGCTGCGTCCTGTTTTATGAAGTGTTTCATGATGAGCTCTAAGTGGGCCACAGACATCTCGTCTGCTTTTTCTTCTGTTCTTTTTTTCCCCTCAAGATGCAGCCAATTTGACAATAGAGGCACACAACACATTTAATGCTCACTAAACCAGGAGTAAAAAGACAGTTCAGAGCTCAGCAGATGTCTGTAGTTCCTCACACACTGCTCTAGCTGTTCATCCCAACCCTGTGCTTTCACAGCCTTACTATTGTTGTCTGGGGCCCTTTGAGAGAGCAGAAGCAGCTGAACAATCTGTCACACCAAACAGCAGTAGCTTAGCAGCGTTCGTAAATGATTACCTACCTTGTAGAGAGGTGTTACACTCAATTGGCTAATGGTTGTAAATTGTTATATGATTGCTGTTGTTTTGTGAGAGCTGGAGCTGTGCTGGAGACTCGAGGTGTGGTGAAGATGGGAGAGGCAGGAGGGAGTGGGTAGAGAATGTGTGAGGAGAAGATTGAAAAGGAAAATTGTAGAAAACCAGAGTGCAAGGGAAGGTGGGGGGGGGGGGAGGGGGGAGAGAGGGGGAGAAAAATGGAATATTACTATGCAAAGAAAATGAAAATCTGAGCAAAGAAGAAAATAGTAAGAAAGAATGACAAAGACAGTTTCAAGACCAGCAAAAACAAAAATTCCATCAGAAGAAGGGAGGAAATCTGAAAGTCTAAAACAAATACCCACCTTTATATGCGTAAATAGAATTGCCTTTTTTTTGCTCCTAAATTGCTTCTTATTTGTCCTTCCTATTACTGGGACGTATGTTCTTAAGGACTCTCTTTGAGCTGAAGGGTAAAGGGCTGCTGGAAGCCTCCCTTATATTAGAATTGTTGCATTCCTCATGGGAGCTCAGCAGAAAAAAAACCCAAAATCTCAGCAAGGCACCCAGTAGCCTCCATGATTAATGAAGAATCGTCACCTTGGTTTCAGTTGGAAAACAGAGTGAGAAAGCAATATCCAGAACATTATCTGAAGCTACCGACTGAGCAAAGACACTTGAGCACAAGCGACTGGTCTCAATTCATCCAGTAGTTGTTCAAGCTGACTGCCTTCTACACATACATGCTTGGGGAGGGGGTGGGAGATGCACAGACACATGCAACACACACAAATGTACCAAGTCATCATTGGCTTAGGTTGATAATTTCAGAAATACTGCTTTCCATGCCCCTCACCCTGTTGTAGAGATTAGAGCGTAAAAAGACAACCCTGCTGTTAAACGAGCAGATAGCCATTTTTTTTTCAGAAGTCTGCTTCCAAAAGTCTTTGTCAGCTTTTCGAGATATCCACACAGAGGGTGCAGTTTTTGAGCCTCAGGAATTACAGCTCTTCCCCTTCCCTCTCCCTGGTGAGATAAGGGTGCCAGTTAAAATGGTGGCTGGGTCCATCAGAGCAAATTATGCCAGAGCTGTGTTATGTCCTTTTTCATTTACATGGTTCAAAAAGGAGACTAATTCACTACTTCTGCTTACCTTGCAGTGCACCATAATGCTCTGCTTTCAAGACTTCCAGCAAATGCAGAGTATGCAGAGACTTACTTGCTGTTCAAACAGAGCTCTAAGCTGTATGTGCAGTCAACCTTCCCAGCAGGCTAACACACTGCCAACTGATTTCTTTTCCTGCCCCAAATATGAAAGTTTATTAGGCATATTTAAAGATCCTTCTATTTTTTTTAATTATTATTATTATTGGCAGAGCCTAAAGAATAAGGTTTTTTCCCAGACTTTTAAAATTCCTTTCTGCTAAGATCATATATTCTCTGCAGCATTATCAGAGAATTTACTTTTTCCAAGGTAGCTGTCTTTTCTTATTCTTCCACCTGTGAAATTGATCTTCATAGCTAACATTACACTTGGCAAAATGTACAAGAACTGCATTCAGTCTCATAACCCATTTCCTTTGGTACACTATGAGAACATCTCCTTTTCGAAGCAGCTCTACATCTATCGGAAGGTGAGGATACCCACATCTTCTTCATGCTTGGCCTCACCATTAGTGTTAAACTGAACCTACATGTGACCAACTCAGACAAAGAAGTACTACAATCAGCCATGTTGTGCACGCATTGCACCATTCCACAGCACACAGCATTTGATTACTTAATCATAAAATATTTACATTGGTTTTACTTTGACTATATTGTATTTTTAATAGGTTTTAATCTAAGCTTTGTCATCAGAACACCACAATGAAAAGACTTGGCAGTGCAGTCTACCTCCACAGTCGCCAGCAATAACACGGCAGCCACAGCACCAGTTGCAGCAGGGCAGGCATTCCCCTATCTCCGCCAACGATCTCCTTGAGGGCGGTGGTGGTGAGCAATGTTTGGGAGGTGCCCCGAGACTCCCTCCCCAGTGATGGGCTCTGGATAACTGCACAGGAGCAGGTAGCGCTGCACAGGCACAGCACCAAGCAGACTCCCAGCCACTGGGAGATGGCCTGCTAGCTGCAGGCACAGGATGACAAGTCAGTTCTGCTCACTGGCACACGCCTCCTGATCAGCAAAAATACAGAGAGGCATGCGGGCAGTGAACTAGCACGTACACAACTGTGGTATCAGCCTGGCTTTTTTTCCATACAAACCAAATGTTTTCCCATGAAGAACATCAACGTCAGTGCTGGAAGTGGTCCCAAGATAATGGCTACTCCAAGAGAGGAGGTCTAAGGGCTCAAGACCCACAGACAGGAAACAAACAGGGCAGCTCCGGTTGGTCAGGCAGGCTTTGCCTGTGTCCTGCACTAGGCCATTGTGGTTTCTCAGTTTAGGAGGAGTTGGGAAGAGAACACTCTACACCTGAAAATGGCAGTACCAAGGGGATAATATAGGCACAATGGAGAAAGTCAGCTTGAAGATACTTGGATACTAGTGGAAGGGAAGTATTAGGTATGGAGATTAGTCATCATCTGGGGATGAAGCAGGAGATATAGGGCAAAGGCTGTTTCAGAGAACTGCATAGAAGTTTTTTTCCATTATCCCTGGTCAGACACATTAAAAAGACACAGACAAAAGTCAGCACTAATCAAGTGAATGCAGCTGGAAAAGTATCAGTGAAAGAGAAATGAACCCAGAGAACCAAACTGAGGCAAATATACAGGGTGCTCATTAACATGGTCTATATTTGGTAGGGAGACAATGAGTGGCAGAAGGGGACACAAACATCAGGCAGTTACTGAAATACTGACAAAAGCCACCAAATAAATCAGGTGCAGAGCTCTGTATGTTCAGGTAGCTGGAAAACGGTGACTGCAGTCAAGTTACTGCAAAACTAGGCTATTCTCAGGTGTGCCTACAAGATGCATGGAAACCTGTGTATGCAGCAGAATTTGAATTTACAGATAAGACAGATCTAGAAGGGTGTGGAGAGTTCAAGATCAGGGCTGCCAATAGGTTCAGAGAGGCAGGGAAACGGGAGGTAGGGAGAGCAAGGAGAGGAAAGCCGTGGAAGTAGAGCAACACAGTGGAGAAATGTGAAATGGGCTGCCAGCTCCAGCAACCAGCTCTTCCTTGCTAGAAGAACCTGCAGTGATAGGAGACAGTGTGGTGTACTTGTGCCTGCAAAACAAGGGGACGAGGGAAGTGGTGAAACTAACAGGTCTTCGAATACATGCTCATGTCGGAAAAAAAACAGCACATTGTCTGGAGCTCATTTCTGGCTGCCTGTTGACAGGACAGACAAGTAGCTATGCATAAGAGGTGGTCACAATTACAAAGAAGATCAACAGACACTGGCACTTCTACAGTATAACTGAGAAATCTGCACAGTGTAGGTATGTAGATTGTTACCCTCGTGGTCCCAATATGACAGGCAAGTAATCACCCTTTGTAATGGGGCTGGGAAGAGCAAAGGAGGAGAGGGGGGGTTGACAGTTTTTCTAACAAGAACATGCGAAAAATCTAAAAATTTAAGGTTCCTGTACAGCAGTTAAACAAAAAAAGATTCTGTTCAGCTGTTGACAGTGCAGCCAAAGCTGTGACTCCGGGCTCAGATTATGTGTCGCTCAGCTCTGCTGAGGCCTAAGAAACAGCCTCAGTGCAGTGCACAGTACATACTGGTCCACGGTTCAGCCCAACATGTATAGGAAATGCATACAAGGCGTACAGAGAGGCTGCAGAAGGAGGCAAAATAGCAGAAACATCTCTGCCAGCAAGTGAACAAAAAAACACCCCTGGAAGTCTGACCAAAATGTAGCCCTGTATGTTTCAAAAAGCAACATTCATTCCCACTTTCTTTTATCTCAAGATTGTATCAATCTCAGCAATAAGTGGATTTAAACCTCCACCTGGTAGTGAAGTTGGCCTTTGTGCTTACAACGAAGAGTCACTTTGTGATCTAGATGTCTGACAAAACCCCTCCCCCAGAAGCGCAGGAGGCTCATGCACGTTCCAAATTTTCACCTCAGACCCTCTGCAGAAGCAGCCTGAACCTTTGCAGATGTCTAAAGAAAGACAGCTCAAGACAACAGCTAGATCTTGAAGAGCTCTCGTGCCTGTTGCTGCAACGCACAGCGCACGGGGTGACCGGGAGTCTCACCAGGCTTTCCTGCAGTCCTTTCATGACTGCAGCATGTCTCAATCTGTTTACCTGCAAGTAGTAGGTATAATCTGATTAGATAAGACCATTACCACGGCACGTAACCTTTGGACTTTGGCTTCAGGCTTCTACTTTCCCTTCTGGAGAGAGCACATCATATTTCACTGTCTATTTTATTTCTTTCTCCCTTATTACAGTTGTGCTCAGTACGCTACGTGTAGCGTACTGATTGATTTTCCTGGAGGCACAAACAAGCAGATAGAATCTAGAGGATGTTTAAATAGAGGGAATCATTTTAAATGGTCTTTGAATTAATAAATATATATAAAGATAAATAAGAAACATAGAGATATATAGGACATATAGGTAGTACAAACAAATCATGATCCATCTGTCCAGGGTGCTCTGTTCATGTAAGCACTCTTTGCTAGGATATCCTCAAAAGAAATATGCCTTCGTTCTTCATCTTTCTGGATGCACTTATGATCCCAGCTGGGAAACAGGAAATTTTCGAGTATCTCAAGTGAAGGATCGGACACTAGATAATACATTGTGCCTAATAGGAAGGGTTTATCCTAAAAGAATACCTAAAAGGCATAGTCTACCTCCTTGACTTACTGAGTTGACAGAATATGCACTTTCACTGTAGGCTCTACTAATTAGCACAAGAGAAAATAACTACCAATTTGAAGACACTGGTGTCTTGCAGGCAAATTGGGTCGCTGTAGTTTTTCAACATTACATTCTCACCTCTCTTGCAGTATTCCTGCCAGCCACCAACCTTCCTTTGATCAGCCATGGATCTTAAGGCTGTCTGTCCTCCATTCTCTAGACTCGTATTCAGAAAGAACAGCTACCAAACTCTTCATGAATAACTATAGCAGCAACTGCTTCCGAGTCTCCTTTGGAGATGGGTCAAATCTTTATTGACTAGTTAACGCAAGACTGAGTGAAACCCTCAGCACAAGTTGAGCAGGATTTGATGAGATATTTAGTTTCATACTTTTGTTGTGGTCTCTAGTGCACTATCTGTATACATAATGCAGAAATGTATCCATCAGCATAAACGAGGCACCAAAGTTGTTCAAGATTTGACCCACCTGAACAGCTTCTGCAAAAAAATACCTATTCATCCTCCTCCCATTTCTCTCTACAGTCCAGTGCAAAAACAGTCTGATATTAGGGAATACCTCTTATCCATCACCTTAGTCTACATGTGTTCTTAATAAGGAAATGTAATATATCAACTTTTCCATTTTCTTCTAAAGCTCTCCCCCGTAACAGCAAACATACCTATTACTTTCAATTGCTAAAATCAATTAAACATTAGCCCTCATCCCTGCTTAACGCATGGAAAAACATGCCAGTTAACGTAACATATTGTCACCTTGGGTTCTGCTGAGACAACAAAGTTCACACTTTCAAAAAATGTCTAATTGTTGGTTCTACTTCAGGTCAAGGTCTTATTTGTCTGTATTCCTTCACATCACTGCCAGTACAAGAAGCCATGTATTCTCTTGGCTTGGATCCAAGCTTTCCATCAGCTGGCCTGTGCCATGCCCTAAAATAATGGAGGTTCTTGTCATTCCCAGAGAACTCAGTGTACCCATGCTGTAGCACAAGCAGAAATTCAAAGCACCAAGTTACTTTCAAACGTTGCTCCCAACTATTGCTGATGGTTGGTGAGTGGAGGAAATAGACCTCAACAGTAGTCAGTCAGACTACTTTTGTATCCCTCAGCTGAAGATCAGGACTGTAGGAATACAAGACAGAAACACTGCTGTGCTGTGGTACCTTGGCATTAGATGGTTTAAAAGCTTAGTAAGACACCTCAATTGAGTTACACAGTTCCAGGGAACCTGGAAATGTGTAGAAACCATGCGACTCTCCACAGAAAAGTCATTACTCAAAAGGGTTTTTGCTTACCAAATAATCTGATCTCTGGATACTGCAAAATGGTTTTCCTGCTCTCTTTGAACTGAATTTCAATATGTGCTTGCATGAAGAACATAATGAAGTATATGCCTACGGCAAGTGCACTTTAAAGCACCGTCCTTTATTCCTAGACGCATTTCCAGGAAACACGAAGCAGCAGAATAAAACACCTCTGGCTTTATCACAGACTCTTTCTGCTGCGTCACTTTTTGCTCAGGGGCTGACACTTGGACAGACACTTGGACTGAGCACAAGCACAGCAGATCTGCCTGACTCTTGGCCGTGCAGGAGAGCCTCACCTCACTGGAGGCAGACATGATGAGGCCTGTAACCTGAAGGTAGCAAGCAGCATTTTAAAAGAACTGCAAGGCACAACTCCAAAGGCCAACTCCTTCACCTGACATGTCTTCACACAAGCAAAGATATACACCAAATATAACTGTCCAAGTTATAATGCAGGAGCTGACAGCAGGATTTATCTTTCTCTCTTTTCAAAAATCCCCTCCTGGTGAAGTGGGACATTTAGAAGCAGTGATCAGGCATGCTGCTCATTCACAGGTGGCTGGTAGCTCACACTGAATGGCTCACATGCAGCCTGAGCATAGTCTTACAAGTAAAATGGTATTTTTGCCTCTTTCTGAAGCATCATCCAGCAAGGGCCCCTTGGTTACACATTATCCAGATGAACCCTCGCTTAGAGACAGGCAGCTTTTCAGGCCCAGTGGGACTGGGTCACCGAAGGCAGCATGCAGTAGCTTGCTTAAGGGGCCAGGCTCATTGGCATCTCTTAGTCAAGGCTGTGAGATATCTCTGCCACTCCACCCTCAGGCCCATGGAGGCATCACTAATTTTTCAGCCCTGCTTTTACTGAATAATTCAGCTAATAGCATCAGAAGAAGCAGAGATTTTCTGATGTTTGGCCAAGCTGTTAATATTGTTATTCTGGCACATGTTAACAAGTGCAGACAGGTCTGGGTATTAGTCATATTTCTAGAGGCAGGTTTTTTTTTTTCTTATTCTCTCTTTTTTCTTTTTTTTTTTATCATATCCATTGTTACTGGGCTTCAAAGCTCTCAGCAGAAACAGATGTGTGAATGTTGTAAAATTATACTGCTAGTTCAGGGCTGTTTTCCAGCTTTACACAAGTTGTAGGTCAAAAGACACTACTTTCTGCACTGAGAAAAGCTACAATAAGGAATTACAGGCTAAGAATCAAGTATCTTCTCCTAGGGCATGTCTAAACTGACACTGCCCTCACAGATCTGATTTAGTTTCTATGTATATGCACCTTATGCTATGGCGTTCAATCTCCGAACTGTTATAGTGGGATTGGTGGAATGCCTGACTCAGCAGCCACTGCCTGCACAAGATGTTCACTACTTTGGCACATCTTCACTGGTCATCTAGCATCATCAAATGTATCCTGGAGGTGACCTTTATGGTATTGGA